GATACACAGCACATTAAACTTTTCCAGACATGTTCTTTCTGCAGAGTCATAACAGTCATCAAGGTGTCAGCCATTCATTATAGCTACATTCAATTGCTCCTTCTGAACGGCCCACGCTCATTATCAACCCCGTCACATGCTTTTGATTCATAAAGGAGACATCCCCCAAAATCTACCTTCACTCTCTCACTCACGTGGTCACTGCTTACATTCATGCTTACGTGGATACTCCAGCCAGATTTATGTGAATAACCAGATTGAGGATTGTGATTTTTTTAATTGCATTCCTCCAATTTGGTATCCGGGAGGATATTTGATACTTCTTTTTGATGCTGAAATATGAGTTTTTCCACCACTTCAAGCCTCTTTATGTGAAAAAAACACAACTTTGGACCCAGTTCACTCTGTGACCTTTCAGGTGTATTTGCAGAAGGAAAACACCCTCATGAAAACAGACCACGGTGTAAAAGAGAATGAGGCTGCAACTCACATGTTTGTGTCTTATTGATTAATGAGGATATGTGCTGCTTTTGTTTGTCTTCTCTGACTGTAAATCAGAAACCGTTTATTACCAATGTATGTTGTACATACTGAATATCTTTAGTTTTGTAACTCATATTGGAATCAGAAAATGTTTGGTATTTTTGCTGAATAAGTGGTTTCAATATTTAGCAAAATTGCTGGCGGTAATTTTCTGTTGATCAACACATTGATTTAATAATTTCAGCACTTTATAAGACAGTAATTGCAAGATTAATATATAAAACTAGTCTGTAATTCTAGCTCCAATTTTGACCTTCAGTTTGTTAAAACAATCTGGTTAAATATTTAAATGTCATTTACATTTGGCAGTAATGCCTTATTCTGTTTGTAATCCAAACAATAGCGTAGTAATAGCCAGTAAACAACACACTCACTCACATTCGCCCACCCGGCTCCCTCCGCCATCACCGCCACACCACCCGTGGTCAACCTGAATTCCTCGTTGGCACCTCACGTGCTGTCTGCCCCTCTCTCTCTCTCGAGCCAACTCTATCATGTAATGACACCTCAGCACATAATATGACAATACCACAGATATTTCTATACAAGTACACTCAAAAAAACACACACACACATGCACTTGCACCACTTGTCTGTGTAGCTAAAACAAGTGTAATACAGCATCATGGGGGCGTATGGTGAGAGCTGTACAAATGAATCAAATCAATGGCAGGCATTTAGTCTGTACTTTTCCCAAGTCCAATATCGGCAAAGCACTAATTGTTGAGTCTCACATAAGTGTTTCCCTTCATTGGCTGAACAATTTCCCCCTCAACATCCTTAATCATGATGTCATGTCAGATGTATTAATGTTCATTATTGCCACGACGCAATGCATATTACATAAGTGCAGAATTTATCACCTCATTTAAGATATTCCCTGTGTTCCTTTACACAGTTTTTTGATTCATCAAGTGTGTAGTTATGGTACATTTCATCATGCTGACCCAGTTTTATTTCATTGTATCTGACAGGGGCTGTAAATCATCTTGGAATATGTAATCTCAGGGGACTCTGTCTTTACTTCACATGGGCTGCTGGGACCTCAGTGTGTGTGTGTGTGTGTGTGTGTCAGTGTGAGCGCAAGTGTTTGCACTAAAGCCCAAGTCGTCTACCAAGAGTGTAAGCTGTAACCTCTCACTTTTGTTTGATTCATAACATCCCTCTGTTTGCCAAGCCTGCCTTCTTTACGCACCTTTCTTTTTGCTGTCAGTATACTCGAGCCGGTGTTTCCCTTTCATTCACTGTACTTGAATAATTGAGCAGTCGTGTAAGATGGCGTCATCACCAGCAGGCTCCCAGAGAACACATTCAGGCCAAAGAAACCGATGAGGACATTATTTGCCTGTAGCTCGGCCGTGCCCCAAACTATCACACACAATGTCGTGAGATCCACGTGCGTCCTTGAAAATGTAGTCAATCGTATCCCTTGTCTTTACCGTGTCCCCTGTTGGTGGCGTCACAGTGATGGGGACCACAGATGGTGGGCAGAGCGGCATCTCACCACACACATCAAGGCCCGTCCTCACTGTGGCAGATGTGACTTCTAAGTATCTCAGATTTCCATCCACTGGCCACTGTGCAATTTTAATGAGCATCAAGGATGTTTTGGGACTAGTTTGCACTAAAACCCCCCCTGAGGACTTTGAGTGAGTAAAAAGCGAGAGTGTGAGCGTGCTCCTACCAGGGTCTTTGCATTTGTGTGTGCACGAATGTGTGTAGTTGTAAAGTCACAGTGTGGCTTCACCTCACGTGAGTTTTACTGGAGTGAAGTGAGTGTGTTGTGGGGGAGGGGAGTTTAGAAGAAGTGAATGAGAGCCTCATTGTGTCATTCCCCTCATCCTGCACGTAGCACGCAGCAGAAAACTGGACTGACACCCTTAAATCATTAACTTGTTAAAACCAATAACAAGACGTGAAACCAGAGTTAAAAAGCTACACATGGGGGATGAAGGGGTAAGGTCACTCTGTGCAATCCTATTGATGCACGCACACACACGGTCAGTTAATCCAACGCAAGCTGGTTAAATACTCAGAGAAGGGAAAACAACTCAGCACATTTATGATGCAATAACAATCATTGATTCATTCAACCTGCTGCTGACTATGTGGTGTAATGCTGGATGGATAACTTGGCTGTAATGTGATGGAAGAATTCAACTTTTTATCTAAACGATAAAAGAAATTGTAGGAAGCAAAAACCTGAAAAACATATCAAATCAAAAATGGGTGCAGCAACTGAAATATATATATATTATTGAAAACAAGTGGGAAAAACAAATGTCCTTCAAGCTCCCCAAAACACTGAGTGAGGTCATGTCTCCTCCCTGTGCCCTCCACACATCCTCTTCCCGTCCTTTTCCTATTGCCCCTCGTTTACATTCTCCAGAGGAAGAGGGGGGGGGGAGGAGATGGAGGGCAAGGGCTTCTCTGCTAAAAACTGCATAGATACAAGGGGGGGCCGAGAGGGAGGGAGGCAGAGGGGAGGAGGGAGGGAGGGCGGTCTCTGTTGTTGTAACCTAGCACACAGTCAGTGTGTCAGAGACAGGCCCATCACAAAATCAGCCAGTCAGTGTGTCAGAGCGTGCAGGGAGTGGCACACGCGTGTGTGTTTACGACTCTGGCTGGGTATGTGTGTGTGTTTGTGTGTGTGTTTGTGTTTGTGTGTGTGTGTGCGGCATGGCTAATTTCATGTCCGAGCAGGGAGAAATCAAACCACACCCTCTCAAAATGTGCCAATGTCGTGCCCATGTGCTCGTGTGTCCATGGATGAGTTATTGGAGTGGAGAGAAAATGGTGAATGTTTCAGCATTTGTAATTCGGAGTTAAATGATATGTAATATTTTATTAAATATATGAAATCAGAGCTAAAACTAACAATTATTTAAACAATCGAGCCATCTATTATTTTCTCGATTCAATGAATACTTCTTTAGTCTATAAAATGTCAGATATAGTGAATATTTTCCATCCATCCAGCCCAAAATGTTTGTTTTGTCAGATTATAAATCCAGAACCCAAAGATATGCAGTTCACAAAAAAAAAAAGAAAACCTCACATTGGCAACGCTAGCAAATATTTGGAGTTTTTTTCCTTAAAAATCTATTTATACAATTACTTGATTATCAAAATAGTTGCAGATCATTATTTTAGTAATAGTACTCAGCTTTGGTGATTTTCACAATGCCTTTTAGTACAAAAAAATGTAAAAAAAAAATCTGCTATTTTACATTATATTACCAGTACCCACTGTGTGTTTAAGTTTTCAGCAATTTGGGTTTTTTCGTCGATCATGTTTAAGATGTATAAAAATGACCTGTTGTGTTTTGTATATACACATTCCTGGCAACACAGACGTTTTATTATGGCCTGTAACAGGAGCACAAGGCACTGCGGTGAGGTTAACTTTTGACTCTACCACTTTGATTTTCTTTAGAGGGACTAAAATGACCACGCCTGGGATCAGACTTCAGCCTGTTTGACTGTTGTTACAGACCCAGCCCTGCCGGGCCCTTCTCTGACACCCATAGAAGGTATTTACTCATCGTGATCTCATGACGAAAACAACACACATGTAAGCTATGAGTCGCTCCGTAGAGGCAGCTGGTTGGAGGATCAGCCGGCCCCCCAGTCAGATTACCGAGACTGTAGTCTCACACCCTGCCGCCCCTCCTTCTCCTTCCCCCCCGCAACCTTCAAAATGTAAAGTCTGTAAATCTGCACCCCACTGAGTCACACATCTGTTTAATGAGAGCTGCTATCCAAAACACACGTCTTACTCACATCATTGCATATTAAATGAAGGGAAAAAAAAAAAATGTTGGTGCACAAATAAATGTATAAAAGTTTACCAAACAAGCACAACAACACGGACATTTCAGCTTTCAAAAATGTGTCATTTATTAAAACTTTTCTCATTATTGAAAAAGTAGCCGGAAGAGTAACATCATGTAAAGATGAGCTGAGAGAGAGAGAGAGAGAGAGACAGAGTTTAGTTTCAATAGAAAAGATACTAACAGGATTGAGGGAGATGAAGGAGAGAGGGCAAGGGCAGACGAATGCAGCAGAGGCGGGGGAGGGGAGGGGACTACAGTCAGCTTTTACGGTTGAAGCGGCTAAAATAAACAAGTAGTAGTATTCCGGACCCATCAGCAGTGGTCGTTGCAGTAGAAAACATACATGTAAATGGGACATCAACAATGTAAAAGAAGTGCAATTGGTTTCTCTGTCATTCCACAACCATATAAAAACAGGCGTGGAGTGGAGGACACCCCCCCAGCCTCTGATCCAGAGTCAGCGCCTGGCCCGTCGTACCGTCGAGTTTGAAGATGGGACGGGGTGAGACGGTCTGACCCTGTGACTGTGGGCTGTTACTCTCCTTACTCCACAAACACAGGCAGTAAAATGGAGGCTGCCAGTGGTCTGTGTTCACTTTTTTTTTGGAGAAGACAGATATGTAGATACCCCCCCCCCCCCCCCTCTCTATTTATGTAAATAGTGTATGAACCACTCATACCAATTTAAAAAATATTTTAGTCTAAATATTTACAATACTTGCAATAGTGACATCGCTAAAACCCCTCCTACATTTAGAAGAATATTGTGAGCAGATTTCTCCTCTCAAACACGTAAATTAGAACTGGATTCAAAATAACAATAGCAGCAGTAGAGGGTGGTGCAAATACAAGATTTCCTCCATTACAATTATATTTTTCAAGGGCACCAGCTTCACATGCGGTCCAGTCTGTTCCTCTATTGATCAGGAAGAAAAAAAAGCTCCAAAAAGGAGGCTACACTTTAGTACTACCTGACAAATAGTAGCCACTGCTGTGTGTGTGTGTGTGTGTGTTAAGGTTGGACATGTAGCCAGTTCCTGTCTCTGTAGATGTGTGAATAGTAGAGCTGGACGCCAGGGTTTTTAAGCAGTAGATAGATTGTTGGTTTGGATGCTGTGTGGTTTCAGAAGCAAAATGAAAATGACTACATGTAGGCTTTCATGATTGAATGTGTACTGGTTTTGTGAAACTCAAGCAAACAATCAAAAAGCAGTATGAATGCACTGAAAGCACCAAATGTTTTTTCTGAACACATCCTATTTGGTAAAAAAAGGCACAGTAGTCAAATAGTCCAATCATAACATTTCACTTCCTTCGTTTTTACCCTGCTTATGATAGCAATAAAAACCACAAACTGTCAACAGCAACTTCCAAATCCCCTCAAAACAAGTGTAGGCCAAACTATGCAAGCGCACAGCAGGCAATAACCAGCTGCCCAATAAATAAATACAAACAATAAATAAATGCAGTGTCCGATCAACACATGAATAAATTAACTGTGGGACTCGAGAGTCGTACGTCTTTGAGTGATCCGTGTGTTTTTCTCTTCTGGTTGGTCTTTTCAAAGTCTTTCTTGGATTGTTATGACACCGAGTTCTGGTCAGTTTAGAAACACCTGATCCTCAGCATGACAAGAAAAAAAAAAAAAAAAAGAATTTCCCTCCGGTTGCTGTGATGACACGCCTCTCGATCGCCCAAACAGTTGTTGGATTACATTCGTGAGTTGATCATTGTTTTCCAAGTCAGATGACTAACACACCACACGTACAGTGTAACGCTGCATTCTGTACACCGCGTTTCTCACATTTCTAGCTACAAGACTCTCGATGACTTCAGTGTTACGCTTCCTCGAGTCTATCTACAAGTGAAGGTGACATCAAAAACATTCAGCTCGCCCCGTGTTGAAGTTACCTCATCAAAATAAACCTCGGAAGCTTTCGTTCTGAATGTTGACATCAGCTTTTCTAATTTTGGATTGAGTGCGTCCCTCAAGTGTGACGTCTGCAGAAACAAGTCGTCTCTGAATACAGTGATTGCTTTCATGCTGAGGAGAAACTATTATTTGCTCCTCGTAGTTCTTCAAAATCTCTCCTATGATCATTTCATTAAAAAAAAAAAAAAAAAAAAAAAAGCCTCTCAGCTTTAAGTGTCCATTCCTATCCCCTCAACCACAACTGCTTTCGTGCAGGTTTAGATTATTACGCAATTGTGATCATCAACTCTATTGGTTTCAGTTCATTTAAAACACGGTATGCCCTGAATATTGGTTGCAAATGTGGCTCTGATGAGGGGTTTTGTATGATCTGTCCTTTGTCTTCAACCTTTATCACCTACAATTCTTTCCTCCCCTTCCTCCCTTTAATGCATTTAAAATCACGGGCCTTCAGCCTCTTCTTTCTCATACAGCAGCTTTAAACCCAAACCAGCAAAGGCTGCCGGCTCTTTGCTTGTTCAATGCATCAGGTCTACGGGGGGGTGGTGCACACCACTGGCAAAGGCGCAGGCGGGACAAGAGGAGCTTGATTTTGACCCTGACATGTCTCGGCGGTCTCGCTTTCGCTCTGTTCTCCAGTGATAGGCTGGCTTTGGCACTGGATTGGCTTCTTCAGATTTTTGGGGTGCTTGTATTGTGTGGTAGAAGAGATGGAGCTGTTTTGTGTCTCTGGACTGCCCTTCCTTCTGAGCGGGAGGACCCGAGAGACGGGCTGCTTTTCATTGTTACTGGCCACCATTGTGCTCTCGTGTGTAGGGCAGGCCTTTCGTGGGGACAGGATGGGGGCGACGTGAACCCAGGTCAGGCTCGGCTCAGAGCTTTGACCCGCTTTGTATTTTGATTGCTTGCCGAGGTCCTCGCCGTCCCTGTCTTTTCCCTTTGTGTCCTCATTTAGCTGGTCGTCGCCGGCCACATCTGCTGAATTTTGGTTTGCATCGGGCGCCAACGATGGAGAAGGAGTGCCGTCACAATCCGTCTTCACTCTCTTCTCTTCTGCACCAACACGAGGGCACTTGAGAAGCACGGGGGAAGGCGTGGGGGAGTCCGTACCGGTCCAGCTGAGTCTGCGCTTCTGAAAAATGAGCAGGAGATCAGTTTGCAAGTGAATATAGAATTCAATTTGTGGAGATTTGTGGTGTGTGTGTGTGTGCGCGTGCACGGGTAGGCTCTTGCACACACACAGGAATGCGCGTGATCTCACCTTGACGGGAATGTGTAACTGATCCCTGTGTTTGTGAGGCGGGGTGGAGCGAAGCGCGTCATGGAGGGATGTAGCGGGGGATGCGGCGACGCTGGAGACTGCAGAGACAACCTCAGGGTGGATCTGAGGAAACCAAAGCTTCAGCATCCCCTCCACCTGGAGCAGAGTGTTCAGGTACTTCTCCCTACAGAAAATTTAAAAAAAGACAACATACATTATAATTGAGGAGAAGTTGTCAATGCTATTGTGTTATGGCATTGGTAGAAATCCGGATGTTTGTGGTCCTGCGTAAAAACTGAAGTTTGGCGTTTCTCTGCACTGCCGGTGAATTCTGTAACTTTACCTTCCCAAAGGACTGTTCAATAAAACAGAGCAGGAGATGAGGCTTGAAATGGAAGACTACTTCACTGATCTTTTCTTGTTATAGCTTCATTTACATGCTAAAAACCTAACTAAGATGTAGTGTCTAGTGATGCAGAGGCAAGACAAGAAAGAGCAACAGTCAGTAACACTGAGGGTGGATGTTGGGACAATGTGGACGACATCTTACCCGCTGTTGGGTCTCTGTAAAACACCCACAATCCTCTGGATTCGATCCATGGCGACGCTCTGCTGGAAACTACTCAAACCTGCCGATCAAATACATAATCCCCCAGTCAGCATTTGCACAGCAAGACTTCATAGTCACGAGAAAAAAAAAAAGATGCATGCATGTGTACACATGCACACTCTCTTTCCTCTGAAACACACACACACACACACACACACACACACACACAGCACTTTCACGTGTGATACCAGCGAACTCTCGTGAGCTGATGAGTCAGCCACAAGACTGTCGCTTCACACACGCTGCACTTTGGACTCCATCAATAGGCTGCATCAATACAGACTGCTGCACAAAAGGAAAACTCTCTATTGAAATGGACTGAGGCCACAGAGCTCATATAAAACCATGTTCAGCAGCTACAACTTCTGCTGCCAGTCTGCCCACGGGCTCGACTGTAAGCAGCCATGTAAAGAGTGCTTACCTCGATCGAATCGGCCCCTCTTCAGTCCATTCAGCAGCTCCAGCATGGGCCTGACAAAACCCTGGAGCTCAGCACACTGACAGAGGAAGAGGAAGATGGATTACTACAGAGTTTGGGTTAGGCCTTGCTGTCTGAATCGGTCTGCTGGGCTTCCCTCTTGTACACATTGCTCCGTCAATCCCTCTCCTCATCGGCCCCCTTACCTTTTGAGCAAACAGCAGGTCTCCCTGTGATTTGGGGATCTGGCTTGTAGGATCCGTCTTGTCCAAACTGACGTGCGCTGTATTGCTGCCGCTCTTCGGCCTGTATGACTCCTCTTCCTCTTTATCAGCGAAGTCATCGCACGTCCACTGGGACCCGGGGCTCTCCGACCCTCTGCCTCCGCTGGCCTCGGCCCCGACCGCCCCGCCGGTGACGCCGGAGGAAGAGCTGTCCGTCAGGAAGACGTCCGCGTCGTCCTCGGCCTGCTCCGAGTCGCTGAACAAGAGGCTGTCACTCGAGCTCAGGGAATCGAAGGAGGGCTGGGAGGAAGTGCTGCCCTGGGACTGCATTGCTGTTGGGGCAGAAGCAGAGGGTTGGAGTTATTTTAACAGTCAAAAAAATACTTGGCTAAACACTCCAAATCAGCAGGGTGTTACTAGAATGAGAGACAGGGTAAATGGAGACAGACAAGAGGTGAAGACCTGTGAAAACAAAATAATAGCAAAGTACTGCTTTCCATTTGGCAATACTCTATTTTTCCCTATCTTACTCCCAAAAATAATAACCCCAATTGCTCAAAATGGTGGCTATACCAGTGCCCTAGTTTAACATGTTGCAGAGTGGGACTGGGGGTAGGCAGTGGGCACACAATGGTAGTGCATGTCTGGCTCCCATTGAGGAGATCGGAGACTGGAAAGGAGAGTAAACTGTGAGGGGGATGGGAGCTTGTAGAGTAGTGAAATCAGAATTCTCTCTCTCTCTCTCTCTCTCTCTCTCTCTCTCTCTCTCTCTCTCT